TTTCTTTCTTTCTTCCTTTGTTCCTTCCTTCCTTCTTTTCTTTCTTTCCTTTTCTATTTCTTTCTTTTGATTTGTATCCCCAGTGCTTAACACAATGCCTAGCATATATTAGGTGCTTAATAAATGTTTGTTGACTATTAACTATTGATCAGGAAAGTCTAAGGTTAAATGAATAACAGAGGAAAGAGAAAACCGCAGTTGGGAACAATCCTATGTTATTCCCTGCTCAAGGTCCTATGTTTTCATAGGCAATGATGCAGTGGCAGAATAGAAACTTCTAGCTTAATGAACCAACAAATCTTTTATTAGAACCAAAGACAGCCAGACAAGAAAGGAGAGTTCAAAAGAAAACATTCCTATTCCAGAGAAGCCAGCCCAGTTAAAAGGTGGTTGGAAGCACTACGTGAAGCAAAAATTAAGGCTGTAGGTACTACAATAAAAGTGTCATCAGACCTGGAGGAAACTACCCTCAGACCACATAAGCAAGAATGTCAGGTCCTTGGCCAGCTTTCAGATGTTTGGAGAGCCAACCCAACATCAGGATTAAACAGGAAGCCAAAAATGGGCCATGGATGGATTAGGAAAGAGGTGAATTCCAAAGAGCTCCATGGAGAGCGAGAGAGAGAGAGAGAGAGAGAGAGAGAGAGAGAGAGAGAGAGAGAGATCTCTATCTACATATTGATCAATATCTATATCTACATATACACATACATAGATTTGCACATTTGCAATATGTGTATATGTATTGAATGTATATATACATATGTGTATATGTATGTATATGTGGGTGTATATGCAGAAGCCATCTTGTCAGTATGATTTGCATTCCTAGCTTTAGAAAGGAGGTTAGCCATGAAGCACCAAAGACTGGATAAGGCCATTATGCCACCTAAAACTAAACAAAGGTAATATTATAAGTTTCCAATCCTGCAAGCACAGGACATGTACAGTAAGCACAATACAGAATCATACCCACAAACCATCCCTATGGGTTGTAAGTAAAGGGCAATTTCTTCACAGGAAAGGACAAGAAGTGATGAAAAGAAGACTGGGGGCAAGTAAAATGTCCAAACAAAACTTAAAAATACATACCACAAATAACATTGTGAGCATGGGGATCATGAAAGGGGACAGCATCAAAGGACTTCTAAAGCCCCTCCAGCTATAAAATTCTCTGCTCCTCAAATCATAATAATGAGACTACAGAAGTGGAGCTTACATTCCAAGACTTTTATTCAATTATAGAAAGCAGTCAATTTTTGGCCACCTGTGCAATAGTATGCAGAGCACTAAATATAAAAGAATGATAGGCTAACAACTTGTCCCAGGACCATTTCTATCTGAACTCCATCAAAAAAATAGATGAAAAGAAGGAGAGTAATAATTATATCTCTTTCTCTACAGTTCACCTTTGTCTTACTTGCATGGAGGTGACCCTGAGGTCTCAAAGGCTATATCAACATAGTAAAACCTCTTAAAGTGCTCACCAAGCTGGGAAGTTTTCGGGTAAAAGTCCAGTGATAGCTGATGTATTCAAGGACAAGCAGAGCTAATTGTGAAGGAGGTCCATTATCAGAAGTAAATCTCTTGCTAACTGATCCTCAATTCTTCTTAAAAGAGAGGGTGTGTATTATACTCAGGGGGCAAAGTGCTGGAGATATAAACCATAAGGCCTTCAAGGAGCTCATATCCTCATGGGTGGAGTACAACATACAAACAACTACATATGCAGAAGGTAGGATTTGATGAGACTTAGAAGACCTCAGCATGGATAGGCCCACAGGGTGTTGGGGTCCTGGATCATCAATCCTGGCAGAACATTGTGACCATCAATTGTTTCAACTATCATCAAGCTAACAAGAGGATCTCTGGGGGAATTCCCTGTCTTGGCCAGAATTTCACAAAGGTCTTCAAGGCCAACCTAACTTGGACATGTAATTCTTAGGAACCTGACAATTAAATTTCAGTGAGTCAGAATCATAGAATCAGAGTGGTGGCTTGAGTGAAAATCAGGTGGGTTCTCACCACCACCTGCCCTGTAGCTGTCAGCAGGTCAGTGAGTCAGAGGCTCCTGCTTAGGTAGAACTCTGTGCCCTGATGGGATGAGTACACTGGATGTGTGTATAAACCTTGCCTCCAGCTGCCCTAGCCTTTATCCATCCTGCAATGTCTTCTAAAGGTTGGGCCTAGACAATCATGAATGCCTAACTATGTTGGCTAAGACTGAAGGTAGGACTCTTTACACACATTTTGTTGACTTAATGTGGACAGGTGGAGAGCCATGTCTACTCATGCCAATGAAAGATAGGTTTGGTCAAACTCTCCAGAAACTGAGCCACAGGAGTCAGGGCCAAAGAATTCTAGATTTAGACGTGGAAAGGATCCTAGAAGCGGCCTAATCCAACCCCCTCATTTACAGATGAGGAAATAATCTCAGCAAGGTAGAATGATTTGTCCAAGATCACACAACCAGTAAGTAGCAGAGCCAGGATTTGAACCCACCTTCTCTGACTCAAATCTAGTTTTCTTTCCACTGTATTACACTGACAGCTCCTGATGTAGGCTCTGGAGACAGTTTACATGCTCTGTTTTGGTCCTTTTTCCTGTTGGACTTGGGAAACCTCCTGGGTAGAAGGAAGGCTCCTTGAGAGTAAGGATTGTTTCATTTTTTTTTTAATATTCATACCATGATCGCCTAGCTTGTACATAATAGATACTTAATAAAAGCTTGCTGATTGATTGATTGAGTGAGTGACTAATAATCTCAACTCTAAAGGAGGAGGGGACAAAGCAGTGCTAAAAGTCAGCTTAAGTATCTGGAGAAATCCCTCCACAAAACTAGGGGAGTTATTATCAGAGAGGTAGGGATTAAGAAGGCAGCCTGCTTAGTCTAGTGCTTAGCACAGTCCCTGGCACACAGTAGACATTTAATGACTGTTTACTGATTAACTGAATTTTATTGACATTCCAGGAAAGAAAGTAGGAAGGCTGTGTTGGACCACTGGGAGGCAAAAGTCCATACATAGTTTGTACTGGACCATGAACCCTAAAAGGACTTTATGTTCCTGTTATTCAGTCATTTTTCAGTCTCTTCCTGACCCCATTTGGGAATTTCTTGGCAAAGACACTGGAGTGGTTTGCCATTTTCTTCTCCAGCTCACTTTACAGATGAGGAAACTGAAGCAAACAAGGTTAAGTGACTTGTCCAGGTTCACACAGCTAGTGTCTGAGGCCAGATTTGAATTCATGAAGATGACTCTAGGCCTGGCACTCTATTCATTTAGCCACCTAGCTGCCCTAGAAAGTCTTCTACCTACTCAATAAATATCCTAGGGGACCCCATGTACTAAAGAGGGCCATAGCTACTTACTCTTAAGTACTGTTCAAGAAAGGAATCTGTGACCTTCCTAGTCTCAAATGTACCTTAAAGTTTTGCTGGTTCCTCAGATGTCTGGAACAACTGTTATCACAGGTCTAAGTATGTGAGGAAGGGAGGAAGACAGGGAGGATGTCGCAGGACAGCTAGGGTTCTGCTTCTAAGGCTATAAGCCCTTTAAGGAGGTAGACAATCCTGCCTTTGAACAGGGGGAAAGGGGACAAGCAACCCTACAAGACTGTAAAAATGGAAAGGTTGGGGACCCAACTGGGTGAGCAGCAAACATAAACCAACAAGTCAAGGTAGGCTGGTACCAGGTTGTCTGCTGAGTACCAAAATAAGCAGGGAATAAATGGTTCCAGAGTCTGTAATTGATTCAGAAGCCAACACAGAGCTTGCGCCAGGAAACTGACCAATTTTCCTGACTTATGGTGATTTCCCTAAGATTTATTCTTTTTTTTTTATAGCAGTTGCTTTCAATGCCAGCCACCCCACCCCCCACCCCCTGGAGCTGGCAGTGATGGAGCATCCACCAAGCTTCATCCTGACTCATTTGTCCCTGCCAGGCCATGGACCCGTGTGCTCTCTCTTCCTCTGAAGAACAACATAGTCTCATACAGCTAGTAAATGGATAGGCTGGGACTCAAATTCTGGTCTTCTGACCTTAACTTCCAGTGATCTTTCCACTATCCCTTACAGCTTTGCATTAAATATTATTCTTTATGACTATAAAGGGAGGGATTAGAAAATAACTAACTAGACCTCATCTGTAAGTTAGGATAATCACCCATCTGCTTTTAAGTACAAACTAACCAAGATACAGGGGAATGGCTAAGAGGACCTTTGGAAATGTAGAATCTGACCACATCTACAGCTGCATCTCTTTTTTTTTTAGGCAATTGGGGTTAAGTGACTTGCCAAGGGTCACACAGCTAGTAAATGTCAAGTGTTTGGTATGAGGCTCGATTTGAACTCAGGTCCTCCTGACTTCAGGGCCAGTTCTCTATTACTTCCCCACCTAGATGCCCCTGCATCCCTATTTTCTAATATTCACCTACACAAATCCTCTATTTCTCTCAGGTTGCTCTCTTTCCAAATCCCTCCACACACCTGTGCATGCACACAACTCATCAAATCAAGTCAACTAGAATTTATTAAGTACTTACTATGGTCCAGGTACTGTGCTAAGTACTCAGGACACAAAGGCAAAAAAATATATAGCCTCTGCTCTCAAAAAGTTCAGGCCATTGGAGGAGGAGACAACATGCAAGCAAATATGTACCAAAAAAAAAAAGAAACAATATATAAACCAGATAAATTGGAGGTAAGTGATAGAAGGAAAGAGCTAAGACTGAGAACTGAGGAGATTGTACAGATGGTGGGACTTTAGCTGATACTTGAAGGAAGACAGGGAAGATAGGAGGTAGTGAAGAGAAGGGACAGTGTTTCAGGAATGGGAGTCAGAAAGTTAGGGAAAACACAATCAGGAGTGTTGTGTTGTGCAGGAGGAATAGCTCTCTCTTTCTCTCTCTCTCTCTCTCTCTCTCTCTCTCTCACACACACACACACACACACACACACACACACACACACACACACATAAACTTCTTAAGCTCATTCCTACCTTAATACTTCTTTCTCACACTCCCATCACCATCTATCTCCTCTGCTCCTTCTCACCTTCTCATGTTCTAAAGGGAACTAGAGAAAGTTATTTAATGACAGCTAGTGGATCTACTACAGATCTCCAGGAATAGGAGACAGACAATGAAAACATTTGGAGTCAGGAGAGAAATGGAGTGTAGTGTGGGAGGAGCAACAAGGAGGTCAGTCACACACACACACACACACACACACACACACACACACACACACACATCCCTCCTTTCACACTTTTTTTTCGTAATCTCACCATCTATTTCCTCTGCTCTTACTCATGGTCCAAAGGGAACCAGAGGAAATTATTCAATGGTGGTGAGTGGGTTCTCTACAAAATCTATGCTCTTCACTGAAGCAAGGCACTCAATTGATTCTCAGCACCACTCCCTACAACTGCTGTTCCAAACCTTCCCTTCTCTTCTCTTCTCTTCTCTTCTCTTCTCTTCTCTTCTCTTCTCTTCTCTTCTCTTCTCTTCTCTTCTCTTCTCTTCTCTTCTCTTCTCTTCTCTTCTCTTCTCTTCTCTTCTCTTCTCTTCTCTTCTATTCTCTTCTCTTCTCTTCTCCAGCCTAACATAGCACTCTCTCCTCCATCTTCCCAGCTTAGGTCATCACCTCTTATTTTACAGGGAAAATTGAAGCCCATTTCCAAAGGGCTCCTTTTCTCCCTCTTCTCATCATCTCGCATCTTTTCCTCATCTCATAATCCCTTCACATAAGTCCTTTACTATAGTACTTGGTGAAGGAGTGGATAAAAATGTATTTATTAACTTCTTACTCTGTTCCAAGTACTGTGCTAAGTGCTCTGATGAAAAAAAGAATCCTTTTCTTCATCAAGGGTACATACTCCCTAGATCCCAATCCCCTCCTATTTTCTCCAGCAAATTGCCCCCACTATTACCTCCTTTCTCTTTTTAATCTACTGTGGAGGAAGAACAATAGCATTTTAGAAATGTTTTATATGACTAAACCTCCATTCTGGCAGTGTTGTGCTGACAAGATTCGTCATCTACCTCAAATAACCCTGGTTAAGTAACTTGGTCTTTCTACTCTGATGTAACATCCTTGTGACCACCAGATCGGCAGCTTGGGATTTTTCCACACTGATGTAATGTCCTTGTGACCATCGGATCTGGGGGGTGCTAAGGGAGCCTAAAACCTGATTGGTGAGTTAACATTCATGGACCCACCCTGGAATGCTGCTGATTTGCTGTGTCTTGTAAGAGAAAAGCTTTCTAAACCAAGGCTACGCTCTCCGAAACTAGGGCTGCTACCAGTTAGCAGTCTTCCTAAGTACCCTAATAAGTCACTTTTCTTTTCAGTTTGATTACTCGTTTATTTGACCTCCAGTCTACAGACTCACTGGTGGATAAAACACTCATAAAAGGAGTCCTTGGAACTTTATGCATCTAAGTGGCACAGTGAATAGAACACTAGGCCTGGAGGCGAGAAAACCCCAATGTAAATCCTACCTCACACACATTATCTGTATGACCCTGGGCAAATCAATGAGCCTTTATCTGCCTCAGTTTCCTCAACTGTAAAATGGAGATAATAAAATGAGATAATATTTGTAAAGTGTTTACCGTGGTGCTTGGCAAATAGTAGGCACTTAATGAATACTTGTTCCTCTCCCCTTCTCTATCATTGTGACTCAGCTGCCTTCTCTCTCAGGTCCTGTGGCCACCTTCTCTCACTGGTGATTCTTCCTACAACCTCCATTTTGAGAAAGGGACCAGTCCAGCCATCCTTCATTCCCCAGACTTCACCACCATGGCCCAATATGAATATCACCTAAAAGCACCTTTTCAGTTCCCTCTTATGTGTTGTCTTCCCCCATTAGAATATCAACTCCCTGAGGGCAGGGGCTGTTTTTCTTTTTGCTTGTATTTGTGCCCCCAGCCTTTTCCCTCATTTTCCCTTTTTACTCCCTCATAAATTGGATTTAAGTAAGGTGAAGTTGTCAGTCTCACTCTCTCATTCTCCCAGTCATTGAAGTCCAGTGGCAAGACGAAAGTCAAGAAGACTGACTAATGGCTTGAGATGCGTGGATTACCTTGGCAACTTTGATGTTTAACTGAGCTCTAAGTGCTCTGCATCACCTGCTTCTGAGCCTTCGTTGCCCACTGAACAGAATATTCACATCTGCCTATTCTACCAAGGAAATCTTCACACGCTTGGGGTAGATACCCCCTAACTCACAATGGGTTTGAAGCTAGTTGGTTGCCCTCAACTTGGTTCAGCCAGTCTACAGAGAAGGTTTTAGCAGGGTGTGGCCACTCCACACACTACAGCTTCTTGGAGACACAGGAAAGAGCCGGGTGGCAGGTGGACGAGTAGTCCTGAAAAGGGCTTGGCAGCCCTCCCACCAGAGGTGCTACTGTCCCCAGTCAGTGCTTAGTAACGTAATAAGTATTCAACAAATGCTTGTTCTCTTGCTGACAGGAAGGTCAATTGTCTCCTGGTTGAGAAATTCCCTGATACTTCAATCTCTCCCTATCCACTAATACCTTCATTAATCCCTACAAAGAGGCCTACATCTCCCCCATTCTTTAAAAAAAAAAACCCTCACTTGATCCAACTGTGCCTGCTAGTTATCATCCTATATTTCTCCTTCCTTTCTCATCCAAACTCTTTGAAAAAAGTCATCTGCACTTGGTATCTCTATTTTGTCTCTTCTCACTCTCTTCTAAACAATCTGTAATCTGGCTTCTGACTTCATCGTTTAATAAACTACTTTCTCCAAAGTTACCAGTGACGTCTTAATTACCAAATCTACTCAATCCTCATTCTTCTTGACCTTTTTGCGTAGCTTGGAATTGTGGGCCATTCTCTCCTACAGCCTCAATCTATCATCTCTGGGTTTTCATTTCATTCTCTCCTGCTTCACTTCTCTGCCTGACTGCTTCTTCTCAGGCTCTTTGGGTAACCTGTCACCTATTACTCTTCACTTCAACCTCATATCTCAGGCTCTCTCCTTGGCTCTCACCTCTTCTCTCTACATGCACTCATGTGATATCCTCAATAGTAAACAATTAAAGTTTCTATGCCAATGACTCCCAAACCATATATACAGCCTTAGTATCTTCTTCCTGAGCTCCATTCTTACATAAAACTCCTACTGGACATTTTGAACTGGATGTATCATAAACATCTCAAACTCAATGTGTTCTTTAAAGCAGAATTCAATATCTTCTCCCCAAAACCAGTCTCTCTTCTGAATTTTCCTATTTCTTCCTGTCGGGGAGGACACTACCATCTTTCTAGTCTCTCAGGTTGGCAACCTTGGAATCATTCTCATCTTCTCACTCTTGCTCATCCCAGGCATCCAATCAGTTGTCCAATCTTATAGTTTCTGTCTTCACAAAATCTCATACTTACATCCCCTTCTTTTCACTTATGCAGTCACCACCCAAGTTCAGGCCCATCTCATCTCCCACGTGGACTATTACAATAATCTTCAATTTGGTCTCCTGACCCCAGGCCTGTCCATTTTAATTTACCCTTCATATAGCTGCCAAAGTAATTTTCCTAAAGCACAGGTCTGATTTGTCATACACACACCCCATACACACACACTATACACTCTAGTGGCTCTCGTTTATAAAATACAAACTCTGCCATTGAAATCTTTTTTGACCTGACACTTTCATACCTTTCCAGTTTCTACACATCATTCCCTCCAATCATTCTCTGTCCAGTTATTCTGGCCTACTTGCACTACCATATACACAATACTCCATCTCCTGCTTGTTAACTGGACTTCTCCCATGACTAAAATGCACTTCATGACTCAGCTCAAGTACATTTTCTACAGGAAGCCTTTGCTCTTCCTCTACTTTCCAACTTCTGTTATCTTCCCTCCCAAAACTACCCATATATATTAGGCATATGCTTATATATGTATAATGTATATGTTGTCTCCTTTATTCAAATGTAGGAACGGTTTCACTTTTGTCTTTGTATCACCAGTTATTAGTACAGTGCCTAGCATTAATGAATGCCTGTTGACTATTTGCTGTTTCATTTATTCAAGTATTTACTGAACCCTGAATATATTCAAAGTCCTCTTTGGACTATGGAGAATACAAAACAACGTATGACATGCCCCAAGCCTTCATCATCTGTAATGTCATCATCCTGCATTCCTCACCATCCAACCAAATCCCACTCATCTTTCCAAAATCAATATTTACCACACATCCTGTAGCAAACCTTTCCAGAATATCTTAGCCCATACCAATCTCTACTTTCTTTAATATCCACAATAATCACACATGCACACACACACACACACACACACACACACACACACACACACACATACATATAAACACACACACCCCAACATAAGGTACTATTGTCAATTACCCAAGTTTACAACATTAGACTCATCCTTGACTTTTTACTTTTCCTCATCCCCTCCCCATATCCAAAAAGTTGCCAAGTCTTCTTGACTCTACTTCCTCAAAATTCATTGTATACATTCTCTTTTTTTTCCATTGACTACAGAAGTAAACCAGTTCAGTCACTTATCACCTCTCAACTGGGCTATGGAAACAGCTTCCTAATTAGTCTTCCCATCTAAACTCTCCCCTCTCTAAACCACCCTCCACATAGCTGTCAAATTGATATTTCTAAAGCACAGGTCTAACTGTACTAGTCCCCTGCTCATAAAGCTCCAGTGATTCCATAGTTCCTCAAGGCAGTTAAATGATGAAGTCAGAAGCCAGATACAGATTGTTTAGAAGAGGGTAAGAGGAGACAGAATAGAGATACCAAGTGTAGATGACTTTTTCAAAGAGTTTGGATGACCAGACCGAGGTTTGCAGGTACCACCCCAAAATTGCCTTTTCAGCTCCCTTTTGTATTGTCTTCTCCAATTAGAAAGTCAACTCCCTGAGGACAGAGGCAGCTTTTCTTTTCGCTTATATTTGTGTCCCCAGCCTTGTTTTCCCCATTTTTACTCCCTCATAAGAGGGAGTTAAGAGACCTACGTAGGTCTCTTCCACACATTTTCTGCCAAACATTTTCAGAATACCTAATTGTATACCCCTGGATATTCAGAAATTAAGCCAGCTCAAAGCTTTCACATCTCAAACTTTTCTGTTCTATCTGGGCTTGTTTTCCCTTTGCCAAAGCCCAGCCTTTCTTATCAATCCAGCCTGAAAAGCAGAAGCTCACCCAGAACTGCTCTGGCCTACTGTGCCATGTCAGCCTGCCAGTTGGCAGTGACTCCCTTGCCCTCTCTGCCCTTATATATCTCCTCCAAGTAAGGCAGGTGGTAGAAACATAGCCCTGGGGAGAGCACATGTATAGCCCAGTCACCCCATCCTGCCAGTAAGCCCCCGGTGGTTTTCCCAATAGGCACATTGAAAAAAGACAGACAAAAACAACTACAGGGTCCTTGAGATTACCAAGGCTCTTCAAGCCAGAGGAAGCGTTTTCAACTCCTAACTTAAATTAAAGG